TGCTGAGGGAGAGCTGCAAATCGGGGCCGTGTCTTTGCTAAATTTGAATGTCCGTGGACCAACGGCAACCGGTGCAGTACAACAGAGGGGGCGTCGAAGCATACGTGCTGATTTGCGCGTGCAACACGTATCACTGCACTTGAATAGATCGAAGAGCGAAGTATGTGTTTGTCGACTGCAAAGTTGCAATGTCCAATCCCCGCGGTCTGAAAGACTTGCAATGTCTGTTTGAGCATGTGCTGTGCTTTGATGAAGTTGCAGTCGTCGCCCTTCAGAGTCACTGCTGGTCGGGTCGATGCGACCTACAGCTAGCTGCGCGCAGCGTCGGTCTGGACTGTCCGTGTTGTTCCTGGCAAAGTCTCTGCGGCAGCGTATCGTCAATGGCGACAAATTTCAGGGCAGCGCGCGGCCCGTGATGTCCCTTCACAGCGTTGCATTGTTCCTTCCTGGCCGGTGGCGGCACTGCGCAAGTCTGCTCTGAGTCTCATCTCAATGTAACCAGCATTCTGATACACCTGAACAAAAGATGCTCTGCCAGTGCGGTGCGCACAGCCTGTCGTACAATCACAGTCTTGCATGAGCGGTACGTGTCTCCCGGCGCAGACTCTTTACCTCGCCGTCGACTCTGTCGTAAAGGCGACTGACTTAATGCGCGGTACCTGCCTGGTGATCGGCAGGTGCTGATGCCTCGTCTTTGCGTTTCATCTTAATTTATGTGCGGACAAAGACAACAAATTGTTCGCTCGCCAATGTACACCGCCGTCGTAGATGAGGACGGAGGTAGGCGAGCGTCTGCTCCAGAATTCTTCGCTCGGTCTGCGCGAGGAACCATGACTGTTGCATAGCAGCCAGCAGCGGGGATCGTCCAAGAGTAGTGAGTGCCTCAGGCACTGTGTCTGACGCTGCCGGGGAGAGGTCAGAGCGATCAGCTTCGGACAGCTTCGAGCGCTCGCAAGTACATAAGCGGAGGTAAAAGTCACCATTCCAGACTATTTCTCCTCACCCAGCTCGCTGATTCCACTTCTCCCTTCCCATCTAACGCGCTTCTTCTCCACTCGTCTTTCACGACGTTCAGCTATCCCAGCTTTCAATCCAGCTTACCAGCTTACAACGACAGCAGAACCGAAATGTTCGCACGCAAGCAAATCCTCGTCATTGCCACCTTGTTGGCCATCCTTGGAGCTGCCTCGGCGCTTCCTCAGGACCCAACGACCAAGCCCACGCCTGAGGACAAGCCCGTCGAGACGACTCCCACCGACTCTAAGGACAAGCCCAAGACTGACGAGCCCGCTCAAACCTACGCCGAGCCCACTGGATTCAACCCCGATGGAAGCGGTGGCAAGACCCTCGGCCAAGATGACCCTGCTACTGAGCGTGACGAGACTTGGCCCGCTTGCGACACGCCAGACCAGAACCCTGCTACTGAGGTGACGTGGAAGACGGGCAAAGCCAGCACCTACAAGCTCAGCGACGACAAGGTCTTCTTCTTGAGCCCTGGTCAGGGAGCCTGCACGAACTACAGTGAGTTCGACGTCGTTGCGCTACTAGGACCTTTTCCACTTACCTCGACTCTCACCCTTGTGCAGCGGACGCGGACATTGGAGTCTGCCTCAAGCCAGGATGGCTTAGCAGCGGCTAGTGAGTTGGCATGGTCAGCCTCTAGGTGACGCGGGCTGACGCTCATCCTCACCCGCAGCCACAACTTGTGTGACTCCGTCGTCGAGGTCTTCCACCCCAAGGCCAACGTCAGCTCCTTCGCTCGCGTTGTCGATGCCTGCGGTGCTGTTGAAAACGCCACCTTTGGCTGCAACGATGTCTACCTCGTGAGTACAAGCGTTCACCTATGGGTGACTAGATGGCACTGACCCGAACAAACGTGCGTTGCCGCAGACCAAGGCTCTTTTCGAGACCCTCGCTGGTAACGACACTGATGCCGTCGACAGGGGTAAGTCGCTTTCCGCCTGTCGCGCTCGTTTTCGGTGATCTAATTCTTGA